CAGCATCCGGCAGCTGCCCGGCGCTGTCAGCGCCTGTCCCGCACGGAGCTGGGCTGCAGCGGCTGCAGAGCCACAGGGGCCGGGGCTGCGGGGAGCGCAGAGCTCCCGGAGGCTGCGCTTGTCTCCGCAGCTGCTGCCGCAGCCCTGGGGAGCGGGGACAGCGCAGCCAGAGCCGGCACCGCCCTGCTGAGCCTCGGGGTCCCGCGGGGCCGGCACCGGCAGTAGTGACCTCGCATCGTGTCCCTTTCAGGGTGCCACCACCGCGGGTGTAAAGCTGTTCCCGAGGCGATCTCCGAGGGGCTTTGTCTACACTCCTGATGGCTGGGGAGACAGATCTGTTACCTCCAGGAATAACTATTACCTTCAGCTCGACACATCCTGACCAGGAGCTGGAGGAGAATGAATTGTGCACCATTCATGGAGTTGAGCAGTTCGTGCATCTCCAGGAGGGTCCAGCAGCCAGGGTTCCACACTTGCCTGGGGTGCAAGAGACCAATTCTGAGCGTGAAGTGAGTGAAGATGTGGAGAATGGATTCTGCAGCACTGATGGGAGTGTGAGGGAGCCCCTGCGTCCCCAGGGCACATCAGCGACCAGCAATGAACACAAAAGGATCCTCAGAAGATTCCTGGGTGAGCAAGGCCCCCCATTATTGCCTCTAGGCAGAGGACAGTGTCACCTCCCAGGGCAAGGGCTGGCAGGTGTGTGGCTGTTTCCCGATGTCTGGAATAAGCCTCGAGCTCTGCTGGGCCCCGTCAGTGGCTGGAACCAAGAGCCCCAGCTGCCCCCAAGGCTGTGCAGTTCTCCTGCTGCAGCCTGTCCCCACAGCTGTGTCCCTGGCTGTCCCCACAGCTGTGTCCCTGCCTGTGCCCAGGCTCTTGGCTCTCTGGCTGCCAGCTGAGTGAGGGGCACAGTGGCTGAGGGGTCCCTGCTGTGCTCCCTGGGCACGGGGTGAGCAGATTGCAGGGCCAGGTCTGGTTCTGGCAGCCAGCAGCTCTTTCCTGCTCCAGGTGAATGGTTCAGCTCCCATCCCGTGCTCACGGCGGTGCTGATTCTGCTGCTCCTGGTGCTGGTGCTGGCTTTGGGGGTGGCCTTGGCTGTGCAGTCAGGTAAGGGAGGGGCAGCAGGCTGGGCCCAGCCCCTCGGGGCAGAGCGGGGTCCCTGCTCCCTGCAGAGGGGAATCCTCAGACCTTCTCCTCTTCCCCCTCCAGCACCACAGGTTCCAGTCACACCTGCGACTCCGCAGTTGGTTCTGGGCTGTCCCCGTGGCTGGGTTGGGTCCAATGGGGTCTGCTACTACTTGTCAAGGGATTACAGGAGCTGGGATTCGGCTCAGGAACAGTGCTCGGAGCTCGGGGCCTCCCTGGCCATTCTCCAGGATGAGGCCATGGTGAGTGAGGGGTTGCGGGCGGTGTGGGGTGGCTGAGGGGAGCCTGGGGGTGCTCCTGGGCCGGGCTGGGTGCTCGTAGGGCTGGGGGTGCAGCCCTGTGCCGGGGCC